CTCCCAGCGCCGGGAGACGCGGCACCGTGTGATCTCTGAGCGGCCGGTACCCTGCGCGGGTGCAGAATCGCCTCCCGCTCTGAACCACGTTGCGGGGCGGCGCGGAGGCGTCGCTCTGGGCAATGTCTTGTCACCGTCGTCACGGGGGGTGGGCAGCAGGGGTCTGGGGTTCGCGATAGGCAGAATCCAGTTGTGCTTGGCCCCTGTGTGATTTGGGGCAGTTTAACTGTATCTCGCTGGGGAGGAGTTCCTTTTCGTTTTTGTTTTGTGTTTTCTTTTAATGTCTTTCCCCTGTGTTTGAGGAAAAAAGGTCGACACCCTAGCAGAGCAACCAACTTTTAATTGAATTTAATTTTATTAGTCCACCTTTGCAGTACGTGGCGTTTACATCCCACGTGTGGATTGGTGCATGTGCTTAACACATCTTGGTTCCTTCTTCCTTCCTCTTCCCTTCCCCTCCCTACTCCTCCCTCCTACTCTTGATCACCTTCCCATTTGAGAAAGATCTATTTCCTTATTTGCTATTATCTGTCTTGGAGTTTGCTCTTTCCTTATATTTTGGGCTTCTCAATGTAAGAGACACCATGTGGTATTTAAACTTGTCCGATTTATTTCGCTTAAAGTTATGGTCTCAAGGTGTGTCGATTTTCCTCTAAGTGACTGAGGTTTATCTTTCCTTGTGGCAGAGGACAGAGTGGCGAATGTAACAAGGCGTGTGAATACCACATTTTCTTCATCCATTCATCTGTCGCTGGACAGGTTGGCTGCTTCCAGGATTTAGCTGTTATGAAGTGTGCTGCTATAAACACAGGTGTGCGTGCATCGCAGTGGGACGACGGTGTCTTTAACTAGAGAGCACATGGGAGACGCCCCTGCCCAGTACTAGTGGGCTATGAGTGGCACATGCTTCTTGCCCTCCCTAATCCGGCTGTATTGTTTTCTATCAGGAGTCAGACCGAAGCCCTGCGTGGCTCAAACCGGCATGACAGCTAGCAGAGTTGGGCTAGCATTGCTCCTTTGCTAATGGCTGTCACTGAGGCCTAAGTCCTGGTTGGTGAAGTGGCAGGGCGCTGCTGAATTATGTGCAGCTGAGGTCAGTGCGACTCCAATTATAATCCCTTGCCCTGAATTATCGCTTCCCCCCTGACCTTGTGGGTTGCTTGCTAAATGTACCTGGTCCTGGTACCGGTTTCTTCTATCCTAGCAAGATAAGCAGAGCTTACTCCCTGACAGCCCTGCCTGGTGCCATCACGCCAGGTGCTCAGCAGCAATTCACTCGATGCCTTCAAAGCTCCCTAGCTCTCTATTCCTTCCCAGGATTGTATTCAATGAATGCTGGATGTGCTTGGGGGCCTTGTCTTTTGCTGCCTTCCGCAGCGCTGACCAGGACCTAAGACTCAGCTTCACTAAGTCTTGTTTCCTCTGTTCTTTAACCTTCACTCACAGGAGGCTGCGACCTACTGCAGGGCCCTCCAGCGACCTCCAATTCCCCTGACCCTTACAGTGCACCTTTGACATCTGCAAACAAAAAGGAGATTAATCTTTCCTGATAGGATTATTGAGAGGATGAAAGGGTCCTGTTAATATAGGATTCCTAGCACTTAGGGAGCACACAGCACGGGCTTATTTCTGATTATGCTTCCTGCCCCCTGGTCCCTTTATATTTCAGGAAGGGTCTTAGTGTTTTGCCCTGTCTTGAATTTCATTTTGCCAGTGTTGAAGGATCTGAGAAGTGCGTTACCTGAAGCATCACAGTGACCCGAGCTTCTGCCTGTGCTTTATGCTGTCAATGCATTCGGCCAGATGCATCCTGGCAAAGGCTCAGGAAAGGACACTGGCCTCCCTACCCCGCCTGTCTGTCTTTGCTCATTTGCTGATAGCGTTCAGCTGACTTAGAATGCCCATTCTCTCCATTTTTCTTTGCCTGGTTTTTAAAGTCTGAAATTTTACCCCTCTTCCTATTTCTGGACTCAATTTTGACTTTTCCATTTTATGAGCTCCTGTACTGCTGTTCAAATTATAACTATCCTTTAGCATGGGGTGGGGCTAGGGATGGAACCCAGGGCCTTTTAGCTGAGCTACATCTCCAACCCCATTATTTTATTTTATTATTCTGTTCTATTCTGTTGAGACAGTGCTAGTAAATTGCATAGACTAACCTCGAATTTGGGATCCTCCTGCCTTACCTCCCAGAGTGTTAGAATTGTAGGTGTGAACTACTACATTCAGCTACCCTTTATCATTTTTCATAGGTGCTTATTGAATTCCCCACAAATGATAAGCTATTTAAGAGAAGGAATGATGCCTTATAGTTGTATATCTATAAAACCAGTGGTTCTCAAAAGTGTTAGGCCATCAGAATTCCCTAGGAGCTTTCCCAAGTGTAAACTCCGACCGGTGGGACAAGGTTGAGAACCATTGGAGTGTAGAGTGATTGACATATAATCCAGGCAAGGATGCTACTGGCAGTATATCTGAGAAATTTTGAGAAGTATCATGTCTCTAAGTCCCAAGGTTGCTACCAAAATTCTTGCACAATTGTTGTGGCCCTTTACTTAACTCTTTCACTATCTACCTTTTTCAGTGTGTCTAGTCTTCTGACATAGTCATCACATTACATTTCTGTGCAACAAGACATTATATTCTTTGTCTCGCTAATATTTGCATTAATTTCAGGTCAGAGATGTATTTATTAAATAAGTGATTTAAATAACCAGTAAAACACATCTGTTCTGGGTGGAAAATTAAGATGAAGACTTTCTGCTTCTCTGATTTTTCTCTTGGAGCAGGGATGTGGATAGGTATTTGCAACTCTTTAAAAGTTTGAGCTGTTAATTGGGCACTACGCTGATGTTAAACAGTGATGTGCACAGACCTTATTGAACAGAACGTCACACAGAGAAATATGGTATTTGGTGGGGAAATCCCTTTAATTGTAGGTTTAAATATTGATCTCTGGGTTTTATGGGAAGGGAAAGTTCCACAGTAACATGTGGTTCTCGTCTTCCGTAGCCTCTGGCGCCATCCAGAGGCTCCTCTGGAAGCATCAGCAGCGTTTCAAGGGGCCTGAGAGACAGCAACTACCAGAGAGCCTACAGAAATTCTCTCAAGTTAGACATCAGTCCAAAATTAATGAGACATCTCCCTTTCATTTCTCCACAGACTGGTCTTCTGGTGAATCAGAAGCTCCAGGCTCTTTGAATAACTAATATTTCCAGGACAGCCAAGTCCAGACCACAGGCAAAACATCTGCTCCTGGCTTCTGTGGCTGGTGTCTTAGGAGAATGGAGGAGGAGCAGGAAGAGGGTGGGTGGAGGGGCGGGAATGTGGCACAGTCCTTCCGCTCTGGTCCAGAGCAAATCTAAAGGAGCATCCTTGTCCTTTATCCATAATATGTACAGAAACCTGTAACAGATGTGCTACAGATGAAGTCAAGTCTAACAGGAAGGTTCATGTTCCTTAGCAGGATCCTGAGAGGCTGAATGAGGTGACCAGGAGAAAGTTGTGTCTCTGAAAATGAAACCAAAGAAATAAAAATAAGTACTTTTTCCTTTAAAAAAAAAAACAGCAAGAAATCTTTCATCCTATCTCTCCCTTGAAGTTCAAGGTAATCTTTTCCTAGATTCCAGATTTTCTGCCATCCAAGCTACTTTTCTGAGGAAATTCAACTATCTACACTGGACTATTTGAGATAAGGATGGCACTGGATTATCTCTGTTTGCCCAGCGGTAAGCATAAGGAATAGTGAGGAAACACCACAGTGTCAACATCAAACAATAGTCAATAATGAGAATGTCACACACCCTGGTGACATCTAGGTTATGTATCCTTAGAACATTTCCATCCGGAGGAAATGGAAATCTTCAAACAAATTCACCATTAGCACTGTACTGTCCTATTTTCTCCTGTTGCCAATATAGTTTGCTTCATGGACTGAAAACTTAACACATAATTAAAACTGAATACTTGGTTATGTAAAAACAGTCAAGCTGTCTATTGTTCTGTTTCCTTAAAAAAAAAAGCTGAGTGTAATGTTACATGCTTTTAATTTAGCTCTCTGGGAGGGTGAGGCAGGAGGATCACAAATTCTAGTCCACCGAGGCAACTTAGTACCTTAGTGAGAGCCTGTCTTAAAATAAAAATTTTAAAAGGCTGGGAAGGTAGCTCAGTGTGAAGGCCCTGGCTTCAATCCCAAGTAATGAAAAATCAAAGCAAAACAAAGAACTTCATAGGCGACTTACCTTAAGGGTTTTCTTCAAACGCAACATTTGTGAAAACTCCATATGTACCTAGGTGGCTGACAAACCAAAACACATATATGAGTTAGTCCTCAACACAATCTGACAAAGAGTATTCTCCAGAAGCCGTGGATTACCACCCTGCCTCTAGAATTCTGTTGGCTTCAATAAGGAAAGAAAAATAAAAGCCAAAGCAAGCTTTGAGACTCCACTTAATAGCTCGCACACAGTGCCCTCTTTGCCCTCTGAGGAGCTGCAGCCTCTTCTTGGTGAGAAAAGTAGTTACCACTAATGGATACTCTAGCAGTAATTTCCAAAGAGTGGCAGTGCTGCCCCTCTCCCGACTCTTTTCGACTGACATACAGTGAACAGGGGCCATGGGTACTGGATATCCAAATAGGCATAGGCTGTAAAAGAACTGTCCTGCACTCCACACTTTGGAACTTCTGTTTGGTATTCACATAAGCAAAAACCGCTGAGCCTAGACCTGATCTGTTCTATATATAATTAAGTGGTTTTGGCATCTTTTAAAATGCACTTGCTACATGCATCGAGGGAAGATTATACCAGGCATTACAACCCTTTGCCAGAGTTCTCCACTCTGAAAAATCAGGCTTTTGTTGGCTGTGCCTGTGATGCTTTTTGTGTCACTAATACAATATTCTCCAGCAGGCTGTCCTCTGCTGCTTCATAGCAATTCTGCTGGGTGAATACTGCAGCCTCTGACAACCTCATAGCATCTGCTTGTGTAACACCAAAGCTGTACCAGTTTGTTTCTCTTATAAATCACTTCCTTTTAATTTTTCTTGATATTTTAATTAGGTCATTTATTGACTTGGAAAACATTTTGTGTGGTTGAGACACGTGTATTTTACTTCAGGATAGTAAAAGGGCACGGGACAAGATTTATTATCAAAAGAAGGCAGGTGTTGTATGTTATAGTCTATTTCTAAATGTTCCCCCAAGCCTCATGGGCTCATAGGTGGACCTTGGGGAGTGATGGGCTCATAGGTGTGTGATATTGGTCACGGGCCTGTGACACTGGATTAGTCCTCTGATCGGTTTAGCATAATTTGGGGAATGGGCGATATACTTCCTGAAGAGGGAAGGCCCACCCTGATGTGAGGAAGTACAAACCAAGGTAGCCTGGATGGAGATAAAAAGGGAAGGAATAAGGAAGTTTCAGTTTCCTGTCTGCCATGCCATGGACTGTTTCTCTTTAGCCATGACCCTCTGCCAGGCCACCCTGCCTTCAAGCCAGCGGACTATGAACTGAAACATCTATCAACTTTGAACTAAGATAAAACTTTCCCCCTTTAACTTGTGGGTGTCAGGTATTTCATCCCAGTAACAAGAAAGTGACTAAAGCTCTGTATGACCATCCTACTCTAGTGAATGAAAAAGTCCAAGTAGCCATATGTACCCAATTACAGTACATTTCCATCTTACCTTTGAGGGTTCAAGGGACGTTTTCCATCATCTGAAAAAAGTGAGAAAAAAGTGAATGGTTTAAAAGGAAAAAATTACATGAAGGGGAAGAATCATTAATGAGAAATTACTGGAGAAAGTCAGTAGACTGATTATTTATTTATTCAGTAGACTGATTTTTAGATAGGCTTATTTCGTGGAAGAATTAGAAACTGTGTCTGCCTGAAAGGCAGGGCTTGTTTTAGGCTAAATTAAACATTTAACAATATTAAGCTCCAGAGCCCTCTCACTTCCTTCCTCTTGCGTTTGATTGCAAAAATCTCTCCTCACGCCTCTGAGACTACAGGTGCTTGGTCCTGGAGGGTCCCCCATGGCATGTCACAAAGTGTCTCCTCACTCCCTCAGCCTCAGAGAGGCAGCCCAATCACATAAACAAATCCAAACCAACACAGCAGTTCATGTTTTCCTTCCCTCTAATATATGTGAGCGGGCGTTTCCCATCTTAATACGGATAGGTCTGAGAGTTGGATTTTCAGACATGCATCATTTTCCTATCATTTGGCCACAGAATATTAGAGAATCTGAAAGCCAAGTGGGGTAAGTCCAGAAAAAATATCTCCTATCCCCAGGAAATGAATATATTTATTATTAAAGATATCAGAGGGTGGGTGGCTGCTAGTCCTTTTCCAACTTGGAAATGTCTCAAAAGTAAAGAAAGGAAAACACTTAGGAGGCAGTAAGATTGCAAGTTTGGGTCCTGCCTGGGCCATATTGAAAGA